TTGTACCACCCCAGAGGGTATCGTTTTGTCTCCGCGTTGGGTCTGAAAATATTCAATTTTTGAAGCAAGGACCAGCTTACAAAAAAGAAGGGCGGGATCCCAATAAAGAATCTAATCAGCAATAAGTGACAATATAGAAACAAAAGAAGCAAGGCTGGTTTTACAGTCGGGAAAATATACATTTTTCTAATGGAAAATATTGCCTATTTTGGTTTAGAATCGGTTATGGTTTTCGAGAGAACTACGGGAGTGAACGTCATTTCAACTCCTAATGAATAAGAAGGAAAGAGTAATATGCAAATTTGAAATGGATTTTAAGAATTTCAGACTGTTGGCACTCTGATCTGAGTAATGATGACATAATTTCTTAAAGGCCAGGTCTGAAAACGGGTATGGATTTTAGAGGCCGGGTCCGAAAAACGGGTGTGAAAAATGACATTTTTTGGTCTGAAATAGGGCCAGGAAAAACCGGACGACACACCCCCACCGTGAATTCCTAGGAATACCCCCCCGGGTGTACATAAGACGCACAGACGGTCGCAGTGCTAGTAAGACAACCTTCCTAAGCCTGTTTTGCCTTGCAAGTTTTGCGTCAAAAATCTAACTCTTTCTCAATCTCTGTTTCTCGATGGTAATATTTAAAGGTTAAGCGAACGTTTAGCCAAACCAAGAACAGCTTTGTGTGTATCATTCCGGGGGGGTACTCCAGGAAACTCTTGCTGGGGGTATGCTGTCAGGTTCTTCAAATCCTGACCCTATTTCAGGCCAAAAACTGTCGTTTTTCACACCCGTTTTCAACAACAACAACGATAGTCATTATTTCCCTTACTGAGTTTTCAGACCTGGCCTCTCAAAAATTATGTCATCATAACTTGGATTAGAACTGCTACAAAAAAAGGCTTCTTAAAATCCATTTCAAATTCGCATATATCTCTTTCTTTCTTATTTAAGGGTGTAAATCCCCCCCCCCCCGTAACATTGAGTAGCACAAGAAGTGATGCATCTCATATCTGTGTGGTATGTCTCCACTCAGGACTGATGTCAGTAAAATGAAGTCTAATTATTTACTCGAACTGCCGGATTATTTACTCTTCTTCATCACCTGGTTGATAAGGGACTTAATTAATTTGCTGAGAGGTCGTGAAATCACTCACCCCTGAACACGATGGCGCCAAAACCCAGCAAAGAAGGAGAGTCAACCGGCAAAACACCGAGAGCATCATATCTTCGTCGTTCACGCTGCTGAAGTATGTTCCAAAGGCTTTAGAGAACTGTAAATAGAAAAAGCTGCAAATTATCAGCCGTCATTCACACGTCCTTATCAAAACAGACACAAACAAACAGTTATTGGGACGAACCTTCTAAAAATGCGGTGAGTTTACAAGCCTCGTGGTTCTTTAAGAAGTTGGCAAATCGTGGCGCAATTTTTTGAATCGTATCGTCGTAGTGATGCAACTCTAGAATATGATATACCAGTTACTTCCTCGCTTCAAAAGCCTTTTGGGTTTTGCAGATGGCTGAGATACGGTGATATTTATGATATTTTAACTTAATCTGGGTTTTTAAGACGACAGATATCGATAATCAACTTACAAATTTACGAGTAGTCACGAGTATTGTTATAAGCTATGGAAATTGAAAGCTCGAAAAGCTATCGGGGAAATATCAGTGCTGATTTAATCAAAAGGAAAATAAACCGAATCCCACATTAATTTAACGAGAGAGGTTATGACTTTGACTGTACCCAAAGTTCACTGGCACAATACCCTTGAGTAGAGAGACAAGAACAAAGTCGCGATACGTACCTTAAAATCCGCAATTTTCTTGCTCCTCGACAACCAGAAACGTTCGCTTCCAATGAAACGACTGAGCAGCGATGCCGGAACTAATTACATCGAGTGTCGCCTTCCCACTGCAATCGAAAGAACTGAGTGACGAGCACCTAGCCAAGTGACCATCTAAAGAATCCGGCACGTTTGCGAGGTTTTATAGTACGGACGAGAATTGTAGACATGTGTGAAAATACAGCCAGGGGAGGGTTTGTATTAGAACAACAAAGCACTCCTTTTCAGCACTCCCTTTCCGGCCTATTGAACTGCTTTTAGAGATTAGGTGACCCGCGCACACGAATGTCGGACACATCTGGCAAATGTCTCTTAGAAACGTTTTGAAACCTGAGATGGGTGTCGCGAGGGTGGAAATGCCAAGTATGCTGACAAAAATTCGATTGGGCCTTTGAAAGATTCTTTCATGGAGTCGAGAGGCTTAATTGATTGTTTTAAGCCAACATTTTGCCGAAGTGGATCATGGAAGGTCTGTTTTATGCTAGTGCGCTACTGACACTTGAGTTTTCCAATCACGCAGGATTTAGGAATGATTAACAGATGATAAATAATACGAATGTTTATAGGACTACTCGGGAATGTTAAGTATAACAGTTTATCCGTCCACTTACTATCTCTTTCATCTAAACCATGTAAACTACAGAAAGAGATTTTGCTTAAGATAAAAATATACCTGGGTGCACAGTTCAAACTCCTCCCGGCGTGCCAAATAGATGAAAATCAATCAAACAAGTCCTCTGCATTTCACCCCCCCAGATTAAGCTATTTTTCGCAGAAAAAGGAAACCTAAAATTTTTCGGATTCGAAAATACGATGGAAAGAGGAGTCAGAAAAATTCTCTCTTTCTCAAAACTTTAAATTGCATCTAAAATTTTCAGGAAGATAATACTGAAGCCCTGGTAATTTCGAAAAGACTCAAGTTGCCTTAGCGATGATGACCGAACAGATATAAATTTTATGGAGCCGATTAGAATGTCTTCTAAAGTTCTAAAAGTACTCTAGATATCCTATAAAAAGTGTTTTTAAAGCATTTAGTAGGAAACCGTCGTTTCGACTTTTATCGATTTTATAGATTTTTATGGAGATGCTACGGAGAACCTGCGGAAAAGGGAAATTTTCTGGTTAGAACAGACTTGCGCGCAATTGTATACCCTGATAACTCTGATTAGTACCAGAGTTTAATTTCGTCTGCGCGCAGGCTATGTTATGGATAGACTCGTGCGAAATTATATACCCTGTTTAGGACAGAGCGGACGAAAACCATACCCTGTCCAGCGGCACATCCCCGTATAGACCATATAAGGGAGTACCCCCCCGGGTAAGATTGGATTGGCAATACCGAGAGCACCATGTATTTATATATTTCTAAAGATAGCGAGATATGGGAAAGGGCAGGAGCCAATAACCCGGAGCGTGCAACTGCCATAAATTCGTGCAACGACTTTGTTTACTTTTAGATATAAGTTTTTCCCGCGAAAAATGACTGTTGTCGCTTGGACCTTTTCACAGTTGGCTGTTTCGAAGATGCTTTCGATTTCCCTTTGCGTGAATTATGCGTTGTGGCCGATGAAGTAGACGTCCGGGCTCTTCTACGTTTTGCAGACTTTCCTCTGAACTGCTAGTTTCCGTGTAAATACTGAAATTGTCGCTTGAAGTACTGTGAGAAGAATCCTCTGAAGATTCCTCACGTGCGTCCGCCACGCTTTTTTCTCAATGTGAAGGAGTTGTCCTGGTTTCGTGTTAAAATCTAAAAATAAACCTACTTGTGAAAATGCCGTTGCATAGACGCAGTATGGAAGTTAGACGCTCCGGGTTATAGGCTCCTGGAATGGGTTGACTTTGAACTGAGTAGCAAAACCATGAGTTTCTCGGTCATTGGCTTCTGGGCCTTCTTGCACCACAGAGATAGTTTATTCTGCTCCACAGACGTTCTTTGTGTCTTTGCGTCGGACATGAGGGCTAGTAGGGCACAGGCAGCCCAGCAAAGGCAGCCCAGCAAAATCATAAGGGCTTTCCGTGGGTCCTCGTATCTTTGAAGGTTGATTCTGTTACGAAGCGATTGCGGCAGTTCCTTAATTATGATATCCAAGTTGTCCTCAGTTTACTTACATCGCAAGTAACTATACTGGCTTCGAGCGATATATTTTACATATTCTTGCATTTCTTCCTTTCAGTTAGGGAGGAATTCAGCTATTTCGTCTTCGGATAGCCGTGAACGCCGTTTTCGCCTTTCTTTAGTTCATAAAGGAATAAACAGCTTAGCTGCAGCGCCTGCAAACGAAGTTGATCGATGGTATTATAATAATTTATACCATCATACCATCTACTGCTCGCATATTCCAAATGGTATAAGCCAGTTGGTTATGTAAAGAATTAACCGGGAAATTGAAGCCAATCAGAAACGGCGAAATATTCTGAATGAATAACAATTGAAATTATTATTCAAAATATTTCACCGTTTCTGATTGGTTAAAAGCTCCCGGCTAATCAGTTCATAACCAACTGGCGTTGACCAAATTTGGAAGATGCGTCCAATATACCATCAATTTCATAGTATATTGACTTGGAAAAGAGGTTGATCAATGGTATATTATTTACTCTGATCTTTTAGCTGAGTATCTGCAAGAAATAAACCTGTGTTTACATCGTAAAACCGTGCTGAAAAATAGGCCAGAGAGTCGAAGAAAGTCTACGAGGAGGTAAGCTTGTTAAGAACTTAAAAAAAAATTTAATGAATAATAGAAGACCCATGCATTGTACAATTATTGATACCGGCTTTCGTCTGATGTAAAGAATTATGCAGATCTCGGAGGATGTTATCCATCTCGAGGTGACTTCAGCATCGGTGGGATGGATAACATCCTTCTTCCCCGATAAACAAAATTCTTCACATCCTACTCAGCCTCATTCAACTACTGCTAATTATAAAGCAAACGATTTTTCTCCGTCATGATCAGTTACATCCTCGTTTAATTTGCCTTATAGTTAGTTTGAAAGTAGTCAAAGGAAACTCTAGATCGCGTGCTTTCAAGTGAGAATAGGTTTACCACAGAAACAGGCAATTAGCATTTCAATTACTTCTAGAACACAACACTACGAATGTTTTGTCGGTTTTAGTTCTTATACTATTTATCTTAAAGTTATAAAACCTCTAGCATGACAATACGGCGAATAAGGGCAAAGCGTTTCTTGAAAAAACTGCCTTTTTTGCTGTTCCTCTTGGCTGTTTCTTGGACAGGTGTCTATCTTCTTGGAGCCACAGCACAGGATAAAGAAGAAATTCAAGCATCGCACAAATATGACCAAAGGGTATTTCAAGCTGGTCCACAGCAGAATATTGAATATAAAGTTTCAAATGCAGCGAAGAAGAATTTGATCGTTGTGTCTCATGGCCGTTCTGGATCTTCTCTTATGGGAGATATTTTCAATCACCATCCTTCAGTTTTTTACATGTACGAACCTTTACAAACCGTAGAGCGAATTCACCAAAGGTTCTTCGGCAATGTTGCGGGTTATACGGAATCCAGTGAATATGGACGTCTCGCGGACAAGTATCTTAATGGTCTACTTCGCTGTAAATTTGATCAGCCAAATGTTCTAGAAGATCTTGAGACTTACTACCGAAAGCAGAAGCACCCTCGTGTAAGCAGTGCCATTGCATCGCCGCCCTTATGCCCTTACTATCCAACAGATCCAGAATGGGACCCAAAACTATGCCCGCCGATGACAAGCGAGTCTTTAGCAGGAACGTGTAGAGACAATTACGATTTGACTGTCCTTAAAATTCTCATCTCTCGCATCCCTAAGAACACTATCGAGACTATTTTGAATGCCTGCAGCGCTTCAGACGTAGATTGCAAAATTCTCTTTCTTATGAGGGATCCCAGAGCCGTGATCCCTTCTTCTCAGAGTTTTGGCTTTTTTACGAACAAAGGCGACGTTGCAAAGCGAGGACTCCGCCAGTATAGTTACTGGCGATGTAAGGAAACTGAGGACAACTTAGATATCATAAGGAAACTACCGCAATCACTACGTAACAGAATCAAACTTCAAAGATACGAGGACCTGGCGTTCGACCCACTGAAAGCCTTGTCCGGCCTTTATGATTTTGCTGGGCTCTCGATGCTGGAAAATGTGCGCACATGGCTAAACGAGACAACAAGGCAAGATAGGAGGAACTGTAATGAAATGGACGGGGAGCCAGCGACATGCACCAAAGACGATGCCTGGATCGCGGCCAATCGCTGGCGATGGTTGGTAAATCCACACGATCTTGAGATTATTGAACACTACTGCCGAGATGTTATGCGCTTGATGGGTTACAGGTTCGTAGATAAGTCTTATGAGCTGCTGGCTGAAAGACATGTCCCTCTCTTCACTGACAATTACGAAGCAAAACAGTGGTTTTCGCCTCAATAAGACGAACTAAATGGCCAAGGGAATAAGTTTCAATGAGTCCAAACAGGGCACCAACTCACAGCAAGACTTCGATCGATTTTTTCATCCATTTAAAAACTTAAGTCGGAAAAGAAAAAGGAAAAAGAAAAGGAAAGAAGAAAAGAGCGGAGTCACACGACACACTCACGAAAATCTTGTTGTAATCGTCAGTTTTTCATCTCTTTAAAATCACTAATTTTCGTTTTCAAGGCAACTACAAAAACAGTTCAAACGGAAAGTTGGAAAGCATACCGCCGCCCCCCCTCCTTTTCTTACGAAAGCTAATCAAGGTACACCATAACAAAGTTGTGTTAATTCAAAAACCCAATGCCTGCCTCGTAACAAGCGAAAGTTAACATAGAAAAGACTGTTAAGACTTTATGAACAAATTAAATAATTGTTTGTTGGTTAAATTTACACTGAGTCACACTTTCAGTTGAAACAAATTTTTACACCTTAAATAAGCGCATTCTGTTGAAATTTTGGTCGCTAAAATTGCGCTCAGCCTCAGTGAAAGAAAATTGGTGCCAGTTCGTTTGTTTAATTTGATTTTGATACATTTGAAACATTACTGTACAGATATTTGCAAGGGAAATTGACATTTATTTGATAAACGTGGAGGTAAACAAAATAATGATTACTTCTTGACGTATCTCCGTCTTCAAGTGCTACTCAATTTGACGTCGAAACGCAATGCACGTGGAGTTGAAATGAGATTAAAGCAAGTAGTGATTACAAATCTGAAGAATAATATTTACGTTAAATTTAAATTACAATAAGAAATAGCACTCTGCAGAGCATTTTAGTAACCAGGGCAATAAAAGCTACTCAATAAGACTCAGGAAAACGCCCCCGGCGATGTGTTACGTATATCTTTGAACAATCGCCCCACGCGCTAATAAGAGCAAACGCACTCGCCAAACTACCAAATAATGAATTCCCTCAAACCTCTCTCTCCCTCTCTTTCCTTATCCATTTTTCTTCTCGATCATAAGAAAATACTTTGTATTTTGTCAGTTTTACAATAATCTTTCAATTAGAATACTCCGACATCAGCACAGGATAAGAGTGTCTTCATTGTGAAGTCATGTACTCTTAATCTCCATGTGCGTGCTCCCCTGTTAGCAAACTGGTCTCTCACAGCAAGAAATAAGATTATAGGAAAGAAAGAGACCCTCTGCCGGCCTCTGATGTGTTTTCTATAACGCATGCACTGGCGTTTCCTGGAAGCCAGTAACATTTTAGCCACGTGCGACACAACTTACAAAACCGGTTAGCGCGATAACAACAGTGGGCTCAGAAATTTACAGCGTGCAGTCTGTACAGGGCACGCGCATTCCGCATTAAACAAAACCGGTTTTGAAAACGAGTTAAGTTTCAGGCACAAATTTGGTCGGCAGCTACATGATAGAACGCATCGCGATTGGAAACCGGCCGAGCTCTCTGTCTTTTCTCTCCTTTTTCTCTCGCCGTGAGATACCTCCGCTAGCAGGAAACATTTTTTCCTTTTGAAGATTAAACTAAAAAAAGTTTCAGTCCGTTGAGGGAAAAAGTACACCTTTCCGACGCTGCCACTGACTTGAAGTAACGCTGCTACATAAAAGTTAAGAAATAAAAGAAAAATGATCCGCATAAAGCTTTTCATTGTTACACATGCAAATTCTTCCTATTATTACCATAGGAAAAGTACAGAGAATAGTGTGAAAAATATCAAACTGATATATGACGGTTTAAGAGGTTAATTGGCCCCCCATCCCAGTGATTAAAGGGTCTTCTTTGAATAGGCGCCTCCTATTTTGGAAACTTGAAAAATGCACGGGCGTTTAATAGAAGAAATACGGCGATCGTTCTACGAAGAAATCGTCTCCATGACTACAGCACCAAGCCAACAACTATTTTGTACGCACGTGTGAATAATATGAATATTTGAAGTGCTGGGGATAACACTAAATCAAGAAGCTTTTTGAAAGTTTTATTTTTTCTTCCGGTTGCTGTTGTTGTGTTTTGCTTTTTTTTCAGTTGCTCTAAAAGTGCTGTATTCGCAAGGGAACGTCTCCCTTGTTTGTTCCAAACCCAGGACGAAGGAAACCGACTTGTTCTGTTGTCGCATTAGTCATTAACTATGGTTGTCGTTTTGCTGTTTTTTATTTCGCGTGAAAAACAATGACGCAGCACAAACGTAAGTCCAAGCGAAAGACGAAGGCATTTAATTCTTTAAACTCTTTCTGATTAGCGTCCCGAGCTTCGTTTTGGCCGGATACAATGATTCAAATAAACATTTTCATGTTATTATTAAAGCAGGTTTAAGGGCCAGTGTGAACCTGTAATAAGTTGTGAAGTAGCCCCGTTTACACGTGTAACACTTAGGCAGGGAAATCACTCGAGAATCCTACAATTATTTGGATCGTTCGACCAAGCTTTAACGTAAACTACATGAAATGAAACACTAGACTGGATATAAAACAAGAAGCTTTGTTCATAAAAAAAGTTTATGGTCTTTAATTAAAATACAAACGGAATGCGGAGCTTTACGGTGTACATCAGTGAAATAGTTTCATGAAGAACATCTTTCTGGTGATGCAAAGCGAGCACGGCATCGTCCTTCGTCTTCTTCCACAAACATGAGACGCTCAAAAAGAAGTCAATAAATATTTTCTTTCACTTTGACTTTGACTGCTTATTCAGTCCATCTGTTACCACAGTTCACTGCTGTACAAACATAGTACAATCTCATTTGCTGCCAAAACAAAAATAGAGTGGGTGAATGATATAAAAAAATACTTTTTAATATTTTTGTATACTTTTTCTCAGGTAATACTTGATATTACTTTCGAGAGACTGGATGGTCAGTTGCTTGTTATTTAAAGCATTTGACAAGAAAAATTAAAAGTAAAGTTACATGTACTCTTAGCCTGGATGATAGCCCACATTTCAGTCGCCACCACTGGTTTCCCACTGGTGGCGTCGCCAAATGTTGGCTGTTTTTCTCAGGCTGGGTTATTCTTTATTCTTGTAACGACTTTCACCCTTAACAGTTTAACGTCGCATTAACTTATTCTGTCACAATTTTTGAACAAAAAACAAACGATGGAGCACCGTCAGGGAGCTCCAACATAAACTGCAGCAGTGTTGTTATTATCCTTGGTGTTTGCCACCTTTTAAAACCAGTCTCTTCTACTATTAAAAGCTATGGTGTCGACTAAGGAAAATAACAGCAAACAAAATTGTTACAAGTTTTTTGTGTTTTCCCAACGTCAGTATGGGTTTACGAACACAGAATCACCGTACATCTTTATCTGTATAGGTTAGAAAACACTTACATCTGCTTTGCTGGACTGGGACTGGAAAAACACTGCTTCTCGGTGGCCACACCTTAACCAAAATAGCAAGATAGAAATCACCTAACTGTAAACAAACACTACAAAAGCCCTAATTGAATGATTCAAAAATAAAACAAAACAAAACAAAACAAAACAAAAAATAAAATGATAAACCCGGTTTTTTTCCTGTTAGAAAGTAGCCTGTCTAGCAAACATTTTTGCACAAGTTCATTGAGAAAGTTGAGACAAGAGCAAATCTATATAATAATGCTAATGATAATAATAATAATAATAATAATAATAATAATAATAATAATAATAATAATAATAATAGTAATAATAACAATAACAATCATAATATTATTATTATTATCTAATTTTCATTACAGCAACAACATACTTTGGGCATTCATGTTGATCTGTTCTTGGTAATGTTGGGTCAGCAGTCACATCCGTAACAATCTGTGTCAGTTCACTGTTCATGAAAGTAAAATTAAAAAAATAAAAATTATATCAAAAGTCAAAAAATATTACTGTTAATGGTAACTGCATCCTACAACACTGTACATGCAAATTTGTTGTAATAAATTAGGGATATGTGAAATACTCCCCTTGTTGCATGCCCAAGGGCTACAGAACAGATCAATAACAGGTGTACGCCCATTTCAGGGTTTGACTGTACAGCTGTTATTTTCCCAAGAGTGCTTTCAATCCCTTAATTTCTGCATAGATTATAAGGAAAAACATCCATCAATCAGTTTTTTTGCAGGCTCTGCATGATTCTTTCTTCAAATGGATAGTGGTAAACAAAGGAAAACAACTCCCTTGATGGGGTATGAGAGGCATTAAGCCTCCTAGACTTGTTCAAAAGAGTCTGACATGACAATAGGTTTTTGAAACATGACATTCAAAACCAAGTCATGTGAGTGATGTGTTCCAAGCAAGCTCAGTTATGCCACACAAGAACAGCAGCGGCACAACACAAATGTCATACTATAGCTTGAGAAAAACAGCCAATGTTTCGCTATGCCACTGGTGGTTTCCCCGAAAAATGATGTCTGCGAAACGAGCACAGAAATTCCATACTGACGATGTGCACTATCCACATCTGGGTAGAGCTTCTGATTGGTTGGAAATGTGCTTCATCCAATCAGCATTACCCAGATCTGGGTAAGATGCCACTTTTTTCAGGAAAAACACCAGTAGCATTGCAAAATGTTGGCTGTTTTCTCAGGCTAATCATACTAATGCCGTGCCAAACTTCATTTGATATAAAAACTATAAATGTCATGTAAATGCTATGTAACAAAAAGGGGGCTTTTTAGTTTCATGAACATTTGACTGAATGCAATTTAAAATCTGAAATCAAGTCAAGCTACAGTCATGCTAATAGTCCAGTTTCAAATTTGTTGTGGCCGCTGGCAGAATAAAAGTGCCAAAGACTCATTTGTACATGGTTAGCCTTGACTTAATGTAAAATATTCAAAAATATCGGCAAGAAGGTGCCTGAATTTAAGTAAACAATAGACACAGTTGTACACGGGTCTTCTTCTGACTGGAATTTGTGAATATACCGGTATTTACCTTAGGTCAAGGCTAAACCTGTATAAATGAGTCTTCAATGCTTCTATTTAGAAGCCACAATGAATTCGAAACTGGAAAATTTATCATGCCAGTCAGCATGAAACTACATGTACATGTACGATAGGTGCGGTCTACTGACACACCAAGGTAAAAGGCACTTACCACGGTACAAAAAGGTGTGGTAAATTCAATGTGGCTTTAGTTTACCATGGTAACATAAACACGTAAATTAATTCTCAAGGTACATGTAATTTAGCCGCTTTTAAGGCTTCATTCGTGATATTGCAGTAATAGTCGCCGTCGATCATGGCAGTATTACATAACATTTTCGTATAATTTAGCTGAAATTTCAACTGGTATGTTAGTCCTGAGCGAAAGTACACAGAGTTTGTTTCAATCTTGACCTAAGATTCCATTTTACAGTTCAGCTGCATCCCACTGTTCAATTACATGCCAGTAATAGAACATATTTTTTGGAAATATCGCTCCTAAATCTAGCCCAACGAACCAGTTCAAAATTTTGCCCTAGAATTTTCCTGTTACTTTCATCTACAACGTAAAATCTACGATGTCATCATCCATCTTTCTCTCAACAGCAGGAAAGAAACCCATTAAACATCTTTGTGGTTTTTCATAGTTGTGTCAATCGAACAAACCTGATTGGCTCCCTTGCCTTGGGTATCGAAAAACCCTAGTTATTTACCACCGGAATTAAATGTCACGGGCAGTTTCTTTCTTCTTTCTGACGTAACCATGGATATTTCCTGTGGTAAATTCATCTCAGACAAGTCCAGTCACAAGCACCATGCCAATTTCACGCGGTAAAATAATCATTTATTATATACATACTGAGAAATACTCACCAAAAAGCTATGTCGTAAATTTTCGTACGCAAATTAGTTCTAGCCAATCAGAGGAGCGAACGATGGTTTCCACACGTGAAAAAAAATGATACGTCCAATCAGAATCGCGAACGATGTTTTTTCACGTGTGAGAAAAATGATACGTCCAATCAGAAGGCACAGAGGTGTGTGGGTTTCGCGCCAAAATTGCCGCCTTTTATTGCAGCTTGCAGCGCCGCTTCGCACACATTCAACGAGAAAAGTTTTACTCAAAGAGTTTTTCTCGCTAAAAAAGTGATAAACATTTCGGAAATGGAGTGGGAATAGTTTCGTTTGTTTCACTGTCGATAAAGAAAACGGTAGAGAGCCCGTGAAACAACAGCGGAAAGGGATAAACAGAACGAGACGTAAGCTTTTGTTGTGCTNCAACAGCAGGAAAGAAACCCATTAAACATCTTTGTGGTTTTTCATAGTTGTGTCAATCGAACAAACCTGATTGGCTCCCTTGCCTTGGGTATCGAAAAACCCTAGTTATTTACCACCGGAATTAAATGTCATGGGCAGTTTCTTTCTTCTTTCTGACGTAACCATGGATATTTCCTGTGGTAAATTCATCTCAGACAAGTCCAGTCACAAGCACCATGCCAATTTCACGCGGTAAAATAGTCATTTATAACACGGGAAAAGTGTCCCATGTAACTGCACCTGATGTAGCATGATGACAGCCCTGTTAAGGGGATTTGATTCAGTACATCACAATATCAACTGGGTTATTTACAAATTAGATGGGGCCTGTTGTCTGAACTAGGCAATCACCGTGACATTTAATTTTGCAGTCTGTCTACTTTGAATACAATCATGTACAGTATGTATACTTACTTGACTTCATGAGTGATTTTGTTTACATAGATGCAGCAGTTATCTGCTTCTTGTTGATAATCACAGTTCCGACACTAAAAAAATAACATAGATATCACTTCAGGACATACATGTAATAAGTACAATCTGTAAGTGCTTCAGTATAAAATTAATACCTCTTGAATACTGTATGCAATGAGATCAAAATGAGTGTCTTTTTTTATATACATGAGAAATAGAACTTATTAACTTTGTCAGAACAATGTGTCAAGACAACAAAGCAGCCAATTTATATCTCATACCTTATTGAGGTAACCTTTCTACTTAAAGAGGAATACTGAGAGAGATGAAAATCAGCTGTGCACTTGTCAAATTTTTTTACACTGTGTATCAGTTTCTTCCAAATTTGGTCACTAATGATGTTAGTGCTGGTAAGAAACTACAATCAACAGATGATGATGAATAGTAGGCTGCTTTGGAACTCACATCAAAGGTAAGCTGTACAAGTTCTTGAGGGCCGAGGCATCTAGGGACATTTTGAAATTTAGAGTCTCGGAAAGGGCATTTGCAGAGATTTTCAAGACTATTTTCCACCATGGACGCCTTGTTGCTTTGTCAGAATACTTGCAAGACTGGGAACAATGCAGTCAAAATGTCCCATGTGTTTCACGACATCGCACAGTTTGAAAATTTCTCGGATCTAAACCTGTTTAAATATGCATTCAGTGTCATTCAAAACTGGAAAATGGATGCTTTACCATTTGATTCCATGGTGCTTATTTTTTGTTAGCAGGGGTAGAAGGAAATGAAAGTAGCCGGCTAAGGATGGCTAACTAGCCGGTGGGTTTTGGCTGGCTACCAGCCCTTATTGACAGCACTGATGTTAGTCCTGATAATTTGCCAAGTAATAAGGTAAACAGCATTTTTCTTTCTTTAAATCTTGACCAAAGAATTCACTTTACAGTTCAGCAGCATTCCACTTTTCGATTACATGCCAGTAATAGAACGTATTTTTGGGAAATATCTTTCCTAAATCTAGCCAAACGAACCAGTTCAAAATTTATCCTAAAATTTCCTGTTACTTTGATCTTAATGTGAAATCTGCTATGTCAACATCGATTTTCCTCTAAAGAGCATGAAAGAAACCCATTGAAAAAAGCAATTTTATTTTTGCTGTTTCATGTTAGTGTCAAACAAAGAAACAAATCTGATTGGCTCTCTTGCCTTGGGTATCGAAAAACCCTAGCTATTTACCACGTTAAATGTCACGGGTGATTTCCTTCTTCTTTTTTATTTAACCATGGATATTTTCCATGGTAAATTTATCTTGGAAAGGTCTGGTCACAAGCACCACACCAATTTACCGCAGTAAAAGTGTCCAGTGTAACCGCACCTATTGTGTATTTCATTTAACCACACTGAATTCCAAAATGTGAAACAGGAAGATAGTGTGGACTGTATAAAAGCTCTTCTATTGTCCTCAAGTTGGAAGAAAATAAAGTGTGTACTGCTGTTTAATTTATATACAAGTGTATAAAACTGAAAATGTAGCAGTGAGTACACTTACGGCATACAATAAAATTTTGTTTTCTTTGTCCTCCTTGGGATACAACATGTTGTTGCTGGGGAGAAAAAATACGGTGCAAGCTTAAGCAAGCCCAGAAACAAGGTGCTTTTACACAAACTGCATTGAGAGAAAACCGCGTTTTTGATGAGGCATTGATCGATCATCGATCTCCTGCAATATACTGTAAAAGCTTATCATCTTTCAAACATTATCATTTTTCCACTGATCTTACCACTCTTGACAGAATTTGATGCCCACGAAACCAGGGCCATTGTCTGAACGACCTCTGATGTTCATAACACCTGAAATAAATTCTGTGCTCCTCAGCTGTTTTCGAGACACAGGAATAACAAAAATCAAAATGGCGTCAAAGTTGGGCAAATGAGTGGAGACTGGGATCTTAAAATAAGACCGCTTAGGTAAGAATGCGGGCTCGGATCCCTTTGACCACAGGAATCCCAGGTCATAACAGCCGTCGAAGCCTGTCGAAGCCACAGTAGAAGAATTTGTATGGGAATTTATCGTAAGGTTAATAAATGGTTAAAATGCATACAGCTATTTCGAGAAAGGTTGTCGGGAAAAAATAATCTCGTATCCAGATCTCACTCTGTTTTACACTGAAAAAGGCCGTGGGAGATCTGGTTACGAGATTAGGAAAAAAGTGCACGCGACAATCCCGAAAGGTAATATGGGATATGATCAATACACTGTTTCTGACACTGTAGCTGTCGAACCTACTTTTGCTGCTTTGCTTTAGCACTCGGAAACATAGTCTATGGCCTCTCGTCTCGTGCCATTTTTTCAAAATTTCTGTGAAGAACAGTGATCTCAAAACTACCCACAATACCTTTCGAGATTGTCGCGTCCACGTTTTCCGACAACCGTTTTCGAAATAGCTGTATAAAAAGACATAAAAGTGTGCATGCGTCATAAAGAGATGTCTCTGTGTTGTTTTCCCTAAGATCAAGAAACTTGCTAAGTGACTTTCTTAAAGCAGGAAACAGTAAGTTGGTAACGCATTTAAACCGTTTTTTGAACTCACGGTAATTCCCACAGAGGAGGTTGTGAGCCCGGGTTTCCTACGCTTTGACCAGATTATTTTATGACGCTTTCCATTGCTTTAACTTGGCTTCGATTATTTCGTTACATTTCGGCCTTGCAAATTTAATTTTATAAAGTCAGGTGTAAAATTTCGAGATCCGTTGAACAAGATTTTCTGCCTCTGATTTTTTGACCGCGAAAATACTTAAGAACGAAAGAGTTTTATTTGTGCCCCTTTATTCTTTACTAATCTCGCCCATTTAAGAAAATTTGGATTCCGGAAACCGGGACATTTTTGCTTGTGGAATCCGGAATGCGCGAAATTTTTCATTTGGAATCCAGAATCCTAAGCTTTGGAATTCGGAATACAGCTCAAGGAATCCAGAATCCCACTAACGTTTGGAATCCAAAATCTAACTTCCACTAACAGAGACTGGAATCTAGTACCTGAAATCCGGAATTTACAGATCCAGAATCCAAGACTGTCTTGGATTCCCTTACGTGTTATCCCCCCTTATACTCTCATGGACCACTTCTAAGTGTAGAAAACCTTTGGTACACTCCTAGTGTTGCGTTCTTCTGTTAGAAGAAAAAAGTATTGCCAAATTGCCAGAAAAAAGTATTGCCAAGTTAAATTCTACACTTCGTGAATTAAACGAGTGGTGCCTCATTAACAGATTAACACCCCACCCTAGTAAAAGTGAGGCCATGCTAATCTCTAGAAGAAATCCCCCTGTTAACATTCCCCCGATCTTTCTCGGAACGATTACTGGGAATGACCGTCGATGAGAAACTGACCTGGACTCAGCATATGCTGGAACTCAAAAAATCATTTGCTAAAAAACTAGGATTACTTAAGAAGTCAAGATTTCTCCCTAGAAACGTTCGTCAGGATCTCTATTTTAAGGTCATCTTGCCTTCAGTGACCTATGGTCTTATACTATGGGGATCTTGCTGCAATTCCGACTTATTTCAGTCCCTGGAAAGACTTCACTGCAGGGCTGCGAGACTTATCTTTCATTTGCCGAAAGACATGGCATCTGCTGATGTCCTACAACGGGCCCAATGGCCGACTCTGTCTATTTATTATAAATTAGCCATTTTTATCTGTCTTCATAAAGCTTTCCACGATAGGTTACCTGTCACATTAATCGACCTGATTTCTAAGAAACGGGCCACAAACTATTCAACCCGGACTTGCGCTTCTTTAATTGTTCCACGCTTGAACACGCGTTACATGAAAGACTCTGTCGCCGAGGCTCAGTCCTGTGGAATGCAGTGACCAACAAATGTAGTGCCCTGACAAAAAACATTCCTTATCGTCATCTCAGGCTAAAACTTAAATCTCAAGCTAATTTTAATGAGTTCAGCTTCAAGATAACGTCTGCATCCACTTGTAATTTTAGAAAAGATGACTTTGTATATACTTAAATTTATGCTCATAATTTCATATTTGTAAGCGCTAATTTAGTTCAAACGTTTTGTCTGTACTGATATACCCCTAGTTTTTAGTTTTTTTTAGTTTACTTATAATTAGTTAATTGCAAACAACCCCACAAGCTCATGTAGCTTTAATACTCATCGTTTTAAAATAAAGGCTATCTATCTATCTATCTATCTATCTATCTATCTATCTATCTATCTATCTATCTATCTATCTATCTATCTAGAAGAACTGTTGTTCACAATTCACTCTGAAAACTAACCCGGGTGAAGTCTGCTGGGTACTGAGACCGGGGCAAAAACACCTTGGCACTTTCCAGGGGCGTAGCCAGCCCATAGACCTGTAGGCCTGGGCCTACAAATTTTTGGTTTGCGCCCTCCGATAAAGCGGGGAGTTGCAAACCGGATAGGTGTTCACATAGACTCGCTCACAAGTCGAGCTTTTGAGCGCGAAGCGCGATCGTACGAGCGCCGAGCGCGAAACGCGAGCGAGCGAGCGAGCGAAAGCTCGTGCCGGGTCCTACCACACCAGACCAGAAAACCATGCAAACGACTTTGAGAAAGTCTAGAGTTCGCACTATAGCAGATAGGTTTTGGTGGCACCACGAAAGGCTATCGGGTATTGTGTGTTTTTACATGACGTCATGGCGGCCATATTTCTGTCCCAAAACAACGGCGGCCATGTTTGTGTCCCAAACCAGTCCTGTGGGAGTTGAACTCTTTTCTTATGTAAACGCTTTTTTTTGTTCCAATAAATTTACCTAGATGCAGGCCACGTGAGTGGAAACACAGAATAAGGTAAACATAGCTTCAGTCTGCCTTGTATGCACATTTTTTTTTTCAAATGGTAATATCGGTGAGATAATTTCAATTGTTTATTAAAATCTTCTCTTTCCACTTTGAGAAGCTACATAAGTAGTAAACAGGCTAGTCTTCAATTAAGTGCTCTCTTCTTTTGGGTAATCCGTGGATGTTTCGTTCTTTAGTCACAGAGGAAACCGCGCAAATATAAACGAAAAAAACTGACCCATCAACCTGAATTATTAACCTTATAAACCTCAATTTTAAAAAGTCTGCAATCTTGTTAAATAAATGATGAATTCAAATAGCTTCATTAAGTGCACGAACCTAAATACTGTGCGTCATTATTATACAGTATTCCTGTCCGGGTCCGGCGGCCGGAAAACTAAAGATTTGATCAATATAAACGGGAAGGAAAAAACCTTTCAATATTAAAATTTATACTGATCCTGCGTAGGCAGGATTCGGCCATATGCTCTTCTGGACGATAAAAGACCTATGCTAATACCTTTGAATTGTAAATACTGCGTCACCCTGTTGTTAAAGAATCAGAATTTGGAATTTTATAAGGGTAGTAATTAGATAGCCCCAGATTTCATAATTGTATAGACGGCTTATAACTAAGCAGTTTTTCTTCTCATTTTGAAACTTATCTATTAAACAGAATAAAGCTCTCACTGAAGGGTACCGTTTTTTAAATTTTCAGGATCTTAAAGTTCATCTGCAGCAAACCGGCACTGAATACAACACGAATTTCTCTTATCTTCTCGGCCATTCGATTTTAGCTTTCTTTGTTATCAATAAACACTTACTGATGGAGAAAAAGTTTCCCGCACCATATACTGATCTAACGATAAAAATGCAACCCAAATCAAATGGCATAAATCAGCCACAACAGTCGATATTCAGTTCATTTCATACTAGGTTTTAGTTAATGCTTTTATTTTACAACTGTTAAATTTCGCCATCTACATTATTTATTGACCCAATAAATGAAGCTGATTAAATAATTCATCGTTCTTTGACATCAGTATAGTAGGGCAATCATTAAGGATGGTACGATATATTTATATATGTCTCGTTATAAGGCGTCCATTACAGTGCTTGTCATCGTACGGATCGGTGTTGCTTACAGTAGTAGAAAAACCGTGCACACAGCTTTTCCAAAACAGAAACTAAATACAAATAAAACATCAGTAACTCGGTTCAGTTCTTGAACTAAGATTTCAAACAAGATTATTTTTTCGTAATTACGGTTTTATAGGCGCGAGAAATCTGTTTTGCAAATCAACGGTACTACTAACTTTAGAGTCACTCATGTCTGGGGTTCGGGAATCTGGAGTACAGATCATTTGGGTATTCACTGAGTATTCACTGTTACTGAGTGCCGAACTCTCGCTATTTCTGTCTGCTGATTAGTGTCTGGAGAAGTACGAGTTGCTCTGGCATTATTTTTCCCACTTTTAAAAGCAATGAGGAAAACAAAGATGCACATGAATGATTCCAGAATTCTTAGTAAAGACTGAACCACGAACCAAGGCCAACTTTTCACGAACCCAATGTCGGCAAAAACGCCATATTCGCCAACAGCGGTGTAGAGCGACAGTGAAAACTTGATCATTCCAAAGCAGGACGCCGCGCACATAAGAAGGAACAAACGTTTCAGTTTTAAAAGGTCTCGATCGAGAGCTCGATTGTAGAACGTTTCACCCAACGAAGAACTTAAATTTCGCCACATTCGAAAGCCAGCGACTAAGTAGCCAATAGAGACAACTAATCCCCAGACGGCGAATGTAAAATGGCAGATAAAGACCATCAGTTTGGTTTCAGGGTGGAACCATACCAATATATCCGACACTAGCAAGTAGAGTATATTTACTAGAGTTACTGACATCAGAAAAGGCAAATTTTTAAGGCGAGCGGGGCCAATTGATGTCTTTGTTGTTTCTAAGAAAATTAGGAGAACTATACTGAAACTTGAAGTTATACACGCACTCGATATTCCCCATGAA